CCACGCTAGTCTGGCCGCCCCCCTGACGATATCAAAGCCCTTTGTCGGCAGCCCCGGTAAACCTCATCCCACGAGGAATAACGGGGCTGCCGACAAAGAGCTTTGATGTCGACAGGGGGAACGTCCAGACTAGCGTGCGAGCCGACAAACAGCTGATTAGCTGTTTGTCAGCTCAGTGCGGTAGCCATGTAAATTTAAATGAAGCGGCGATTATTTAAATCGCCGCTTCATTTCCCTTTGCCTACAACCCTAATCTACATGGCTCCATCGATGGAGCCATGTAGTCAAGACACAGCCCCAGTGTGCAGCCACCAATGGGTCTGCAAGAATATAGGCACCCCAAAACCAGAATGAGAAACCGGATGGCATCTCTCTACCTCTCCCCCAGGACTGACCATACATGATGCAAAAAACCTGAGGTGCTGGCATTGGCACCAGAAGAATGGGCTCTAGGAACAAAGACAGGACGAGGGAGGTAAGGATTTTCGGCTAGGAAATCCCACAGCTCAGAGTGTGGGGCTGGTTAGGTGTTAACTGCAGTGCCTGCATCTGGGAGACTGGCCAAGATCTTCCTGTTTATTTTAGCTCCTAGACTTCCTCTTTCAGCCCAGTGGGAGAGGATGGTGTAAAACGCCCTAAGCCGTAGTCTTGCTAATGCTGGTGGGTTCAGGTGTTCTGTGGATCCACTGCTACATGACATGAAAAGAATCCCTGGGTGGATGAATTACTGCAGGATTGTGTCTTTGGGGACCCAGCTCCTGTCCCTGTCTCCCTGGCTGACCCATGAGTGTCTGGGAGCCATTGGGTCGGTGAGTGAGTAGGACACACTCACCTATTTCCTGACCAGATCCTAGTTGGATTCCCAGAACAGGGTGGGGTTTGCTGAGTGCCATTACAAGTCAGGGATCAGAATCCTCTCCGCAGGGGACTATTGGGATGAGGTTATATCAGGCCCATAGGCAGGAATTTCTGGGGGTGCTTTTTTTGTAAATATGGATTGCAATTTTTGTAGATATAAAGGAGTTCAAAATAGTCATGCAATGAGTGTGCATAAGAGAGATTAATGAAAAATTTGACTGGAAACAATGATTGGTAAAATGGTGTTATAACATACTAAAATGAATACAGTAATAAAGGTTTTATAGAAATTACCTTTCGGGATCACAGCGAGCAGTGTGATTGCCATGGCCCCCGGTACCCTCGGCCACTTCTGCCTGCTGCTGCTCTAGCTGCTCAGTGAGGCCAGTGCTGGGTAAGAACAGGCGGAGCCCCAGGTCCAGGCAGCTCATGGGTGGAAGGGGTGCCATTCCCCCGGCCCTGCCCCATTGCCACCAGCCCTGCCCACCCATCCCCCTGTGACACAGCACTCTCCCATCCCCCTAACACAGTGGTTTCCAACTTTTTGGCACTTGCCCCACGTGGTTCAATGCAAACCTTTCCGTGGACCACCTGTTGCTAAAGGAAACTCAGATAATTACATTATTACGCCCGAGCCATTTTACTAGTGCTGCAGCTAGGGAGAATGGTTTAATTTAACTACTAAGAAAGAAAATATTCATTTCAATTATTAAACAGACTAAGCACTTAAATTTCTCATGTTAGTTTATCAAACTTCATCTTCTTATATTTCCGAAAGTTTGTTAGTCCCAAAAGATCTCAGAAATGGTAGAAGCTAGAAACACCAAATTTTGCACGGATACTACTAATTTCCTAACTTAAATAACTGGATTGGTTAGATCTCGAAATCGGTTCCCCCAGACTGCCAATTAGGCCCCCAGAATCTCAATTGGGCCACTGATTCGCTTTTAGTAGCGCCTGATCATAGGCATTTGCTGGACTCTTCTGTTAAGCATGTCACATAAACTGCAACTATGAGATCCTTTCCCTATGATAACAAAAAAAGTATTTCCAATAAAATATGCTATGTTAATGTCAATGATCATTCATCACACCTTTTACTGTATTTTCCCTGGGTGATGCTGGATATTTCTGCTAGTTTTAAATAAAGTAAAACATTAATTTATGTCCAACACAAAAGGTTCCCATGTTTTATTTATGGAGAGGTGGGGAACCTTTTTGAAGTCGGGGGCCACTGACCCACAAAAAATCAGTTGGGGAACACACAAGTGAGAAGAAAAAAAAAACACCTGATTCCAACCTCAATGATGTGGCTCCCAACTGAGACACTTCACACCTCTGGTGCTCCAGCCCCACTGGTGGAGGAGGGGGGACAGGGAGGACTAAGGTTCAGGGTTTCCCACAGGCCAGATTTACTCTTTTGGGGTTCCAGGGTTAGTGGATTTTGTGGACCCTCCCTAGGCTCTGGGTTGTGCAGTACAGAGGTGCCATTTCGGGAGGGTAGGGAGGGCAGTGCCCATGAACTCTGGGATGGACCATCTCATTCCCCAGACTATCAGGGAGTGAGGGGAAAGTACTTGCATTCCATGCATGCCTCTCACACCTGGATGGTGAGCTCCTTTCACCATTGATACTGGGGAGAGATGGGTCTGGAGAAGAGAGTAACTAAAATAATTGCTGACTTGCCGCTAGATTCAATCCTATATAGATGTACCACAAGAATAGAGGTAGTCAGTGGTGAGTGGTGCTCTGGGGTGGGAACCAGGACCACACGAGCAGGTGGCTTCAATATTGGTACTGTGAAAGACTCTTGAATCCTGGGAGAAACTGATGCCAAAAGTTAAGGAACTCTCTAACAGCCTCAAAAGCCTTGGTGTCGGCAGCAACAGCAAGGGCTCCAGAATCTGCAGTACAAAGAATTGTGCTTATCTTTTGGGGATTGGTCTCAGTGGACTCTTCTTGGGTTCTGGAGTCAATAATCCCTCCTGGCTCACAGACTGCTCCCAGGATGTGACTTTCTTGAGTGCCCCACTGAGTCCTTGCATACACTTGATGCCTTCTTCTCCTATTCTTTAGGAGACTTAATGCAGTCTTTTCTTAGGACTCTCTTAGAACACGAGGAGCATTCCTAACAGACTTGGAGATGCTTGGTACTCGTTCCAACAGCGGATAAAGTGCAGACTCCATGCGCAGGTACATGAATCTGGCAGTGTGTCCTTTTTCTGAACAGCGTTTAAACCCTCTGCAAGAATGGTGTTTGTCATTTACAACAGCCCTCCCAGACACTTCAGGCAGATGAAGTTTGGGTTGCTCACTGGCATAAACCTGTTACATGAATGGACAGGCCTTGAAACAAATGAATGGGGCATCACTACTGTACAGAATCTGGTACCCAACAAAGCCACCCATAGCCATACACTAAAAAGATAATATTCAAAATTTATTCTTAAAGCTATTTACAGATATCCTATGAAAGACTAACAACAAATGCTATGGGAACTGTTTACACTAAAGGAGGAAAGATCAGAAGAAACAAAGACTGTAACTGAGACTGACAGTAGGAAGGAACTGAGAGAGGAGCTGGGTGCAGCACAGCCCTGGATAGCTCCATGCAGTAGTGCGACCACACTACCAGAGGGCACTCATGCTGTGTGAACCAGTAGTGCTCAGAGGAAAAGCTCCAGGGTGCACACACACCTAGAGTGGAATGGACATGTGCAATTACTCAAAGAAGAAAAATTAGCAAAGTTTTAGACAGAAGTCAGAAGTAGCGGATGGAAGGAAACTGTGAAATACTTGTACAACTAATTCAAAATATGGGACACACTGATGTCAATGAAAATATTCTGCTTTTAGAAATTAAATATTACAGAACGTACTTTAAAGTGTGGCATACTCACATATTTTAATGGAAGCATGTTACTTATGACAGAATTACAAAATATTCTGCAGTCTGTGATCATAACTCACTTATAATGTAGTCTGTCAGAAACTCACTTTTTATTTTAGTTTATAACAGTAAACAAAGAAATTACGGCAGATATTCTGAAACATTAATGAAAACATAACATGGTGCTAAGGACACTCTTGATAATGTTTATAAATGAGTCCGAACAGAGTCTCCATAAAAAATTATTCATATCTTACCTCTTTTTTATACTAACTTCTTTATTTAAGAACATTTCCCCAAGTGTAAGAACAAAATTGCTAGTATTAAAATAATTAACACCAATTTTCAACTGCTGTATACAATCTGAAATTAACTATCTTGACTTCTCATAGTTCCTATAATGTGCACTTGCTGCCTTTTAAGGAGTTACAATGACTGTCCAATGTACATTTAACATTCCACTGACTTTAAATGTTGACATCAGCATTTGTGCAGTGGCAAACTAAAGCAAACAGATTAAGGATTATATATTGCCACAAAACAGTTTGATCCTATTTCCTCTGTAAATCAATGGACAAAATTCTCTTTTCATATATGTACAATAGGAATAGCCCTTCAGTATTTAGATCTCTCAGTGATGTCATTGTGAATTCAGCACATATGGGGAAGCAGAACAACAGATTTGAGTACCCATGTGGATCTGAGGGGAAATTGCCCCTACTATCATTAATATACTCATTGCAAAAGCTGCCTTTTAATGAGTTACAATGAATTCCAAAATGATATTATCTATCTTAAACTTTAACTTCTATCTGAGAAACCTATAATTCCGTATGTGAAAGAACCAATTTTAAAAGTACTTTCAAAACTTCTGAACTTCAGTCATAAGAGCTGGAGGACATAGATGATGTCTTCAGATTTGATCATACCAGTTCAAATGATGGTTTGAAGAGCTCTTATAAGCCCTGATCCTGTGCATAACCTTAAGCATGTGAGTAGACCCACTAAACTCAGTGGGACTACTCATGAGCTTGGAGTCAAGCATGCATAGGAATCTTTGCAGGATGAGGATCCTAAGTTCTTAGTAATTAATATATGCATTGTGATAGGATGTGTTTGAAATTGCCCCTTGTTCTGCAAAATAAGAGCTGCAAATCAAGCTATAAGTCATGAAATGGAAGGAGTAGATGATTTACCTAAGGAAGTTCTACAGTCATTGGGGCCAGTTTTATCATTTGAACCATTTTCTTGTGTTGAGGATCCCTTTTAACAGAAAGACCACATTCCTGAACAATTCAGATTCCTATTTGCTCCTTCTTGCTAATATCAAATGTCTCCTTGGTTGAAGAAAATGGGAAAATATGGCTCAATTGTGATACTCAGTCATAATACATTTTCTTCTAAGCTATATACTGACTACAAAATCTCCTTTCCTAATTACACACGATTTTGTAGTCAGATTGTAAAAATGGTAAAAACTAATCAAGAATAGATCTACATGCAAATATACTATTTACATAAAATTTTAATGACTGGATCCCAATTAACTAAATACCTGAAACAGATAGGAAAATAGTAATTTCATATAAGCTTTTTACAATAAATAAACAAAATATTTAAACCAAAATTAAATATAAACTTTAGATATTCAAAATAAAAAAATATAAAATCTATTTTGAAAACTTTTCATTGATTAGAGAATTACAATAAAACAATGTTATTATGAACTGCATTTGAATTTTCACATACAAAATTATTTAACTTTTTAAAAAACTTTTAAAGTTCAACAGTTAGCCAGCTTGTTGACATTTTTGCCTATGTGTAGGATGGTTACCTCCCAGTATCAATCAAGCTTTCATATACTGTTGTTAAATGAAATAAATCAAATAGGATTTGCATATATAATCAATCATATTAACAAGAGTTAGATTTACAGGGATACTGTGTCAAACTAATTTTGTCTTCATCAGCAAGTACCGATGTGACAAAACTGAAAATAAGATTTTAAATTCGAAAGATACATTTTTATGCATCTGAAAAAGGTCTGTGTCTTCTGTTACTTTCCAAAAGATCACTATGAAACCGCTCACCAAGACCCTAAGAGCAGAAGTTAATTTCTGCAACCTCAAGTGGTGTTATTAAAATATGCAGAATATGTAGTTTTAACTTTTTTCTATACATTAGAAAATAAAAAGGATTTTCTTGTAGAAACTCAGCCTAAGAAATATCTTATGTATACTGCTAGTAAACAGTCACTAACAAAAATGTTTGCTGTACACTATAAATACATATAGCAGTCAGTATTTTTTGTCCTTGTTCAGGTGATATTTATTTGCTCTTGTCCTTCGGTTTCAGCTTTTTTCTCTTGACGATGGTTAGCTGCAGCCCAAAAGGTTATTTTTTTCAACACTTGTGGCAAAATTTTGGGTGGTAAGCAGTATATTTGATTATCTAAAAGGCTGGCATTTTTACCAATGCAGTCAAGGCACAATCTGAAAAAAATATCAGAATTAACTAAAGTCTTATAACCTAAAGATAAAACACACAAAACATCAAACAAACTTTTATGAAGAATATTAAATTAAAATATATAATTTATGTATAGTCCATTCCATAATAATACCAATGCTTTAAAACTGTTTTGAAAATATTTACACAGCATATTTATACTATTAACTAGATTAATAATTTTGTTTTTTTACCTACTGATCCAAGTAAGAATAATTCAAAGTGCCTTATGTTAAAAAATAATTAAGTTATAAAAAGTAGTACCATAATTATCTGTGCTAGACAATTTGTGCCACTATATAATCTAAACTCACCTGAGAAGTGAGTAAGGTTGAGTTTGAAAAATCAATAAATCACTGCAGTGACCCTAATGATGAAGAAGAAGAGGAACAATCAGATGAACGATCAAGATCAACTGTTCATTTAAGTTATCCCAGAAATATCTATGTATTTGTTTCAACAGGATAATATAAAATGGATTACCATATATATAACTGAAGTCCTTACATATTTCAATTAAAAATCTTATAAAGATTAAAAATAGATAACCTGCCTCTTCCAGACCCCTTATTTTTATGCCCAGAAAGGCAGGACTTTGGGGACATGTGACTTCTCTAACTTCCCCTTTCAGGCTATGTCTTCCGCAAAAAGTTCTTGCGCAAAAGAGCGTCCACACCTCAAAAACACATCGCAAAAATGATGAGCTTTGCGCAAGAGAGCATCCACACTATTGGATGCTCTCTCACATATAAAGCCACTCGGAACCAGATGTAGATGCGCTTTAGGTCACCAGTTGCTCTCAAGTGTCCATCCATTTACATTCTCAGCAAAAATGATGAATTATTTAAAAAATTAAATAAATAATTTTAATTACAAGACTAAGACTTATTAAATTTACTGACTGTGTCCAAGAAATGCAAGTCATCTTTGCTCCCACCAAAGATCATCACTTCTCCTTCTGTGCCAAGACAGGCTGTGTGCCACAACCTACAAACAAATTTATGAACAGAATGAATAGTTTAATAATAAAATAAATAAATAATAATAAAAAAATCATACTTGATATTTTTGCATATTATCAGCAAAACAAATCTAAATTAGCTGATTACAAATGATTTAATATAGGATTCAGGAAAGCACACAACCGTTACCTGAATGACTATAACTTCATTCACAGCACATGATTTTCCCCTCATTTTTCATATCTCAAAAGATTCATTTGAATATAAATTTGAATAATGGCATGATAAATTTAGTTAAATGGAGCAGTCAGTTTTATAAATGTTATACATCTATTACTTACAAATAGATAAACTGAATTTTACTAGTTTTATACTACTTACCAACAGGAATTTTATTAAACTCTTATTGTATACAAATATTTCAGGAGGCTTCAACTCTCAGGAACTATGCTTGAAAGATTAAATTATTCACGTCTATACTTGTATAAGAAGATTTGAAAAGGAAAGCAATTTTCACTAGCCATTTTACCTTAAGAGAACTTACAGACCAACATATGAATGTGGCTGTCTGGCTGATTTGTAATACACTTTTTTATTATAGATATACACAAAAATACTTATACTGGTTTACCTATCATTACTGTACACAGAACACTACAGTGGAAAACTTACAAGTATTTTAGTAAATATTTACATCTAATAAGTATTTTATTTTTATATTGGTTTTCCACTTTTATTTTTAATTAACAAATACTAGCAAATGAGGATTGTAGGCTCTTTGATGTTGACTCTTATTCCTGAATTATAGGATTGAGTCTCAGAACACAGGTTCTGCCAGTTCCCATCCATCCTTTTTCTGCCTCACACTAATTCATGCATGATCACTTTCTGATTGTGACAGTTTTCCCACTCATGCTCAGAAGAAGTTTTGTTTATATTGTGTAATAAAATTATTCTTATACACTTATTTTATCAAAGATTAATATAAGTAGGTTTTCACTGTACTGCAGAATTCTCCAGGGTCTTGTTCCAAGTGTAATTCCACTGAGGTAAACAGGATAGTATGGGCGTAAATCAATGCAGAATTTGGCCCCTTATATTATGTTTATCTACTAAAAAGTATGCATAAATGGAATTTTCATGCAAAACTAAATTCACTCACATTTTCTTATGTCATTCATTTCAGCAATTATTCACTGTTCTCCTTACACTAAACTGTATCCCACCTTTTCTCTTCCTCATACCTGTAGATAGATCTGTCTCTGTCTTATCTGCATTAGGAAAACTCTGGCCTGGACTTGATCATCGAAGAACTCTGGAAAGCCTTTCCTGCCTTGACTTTGTTGACATTCTAGCTTGAAACCTGATGCTTTTTTCTATAGACTGATAGAGTTTATGTCCTCTCACAGCTGCTCTAACTTATCACCTAAACATTCTAATAAAGCATGTTATTTACAAAGTACATAAGCTGAATCAATGTAACCTTTTTACACAGACCCTCTAACTAGAATTATAGCGATCACATAGTTTATTCTTTAGTTAAACACTGGGAGTTTATAACAAACAAAAAAATCATTCTGAAAAGAAACTTGGCATGCAAAGTCTTAGCCTAGTTGCAATTAAAAACCAAAATTCTTTTTTCAACAAGACACACAAGTTCAGTCAATACTGAAAATTTATAGTCAGAGTGACGCTTCATTATGAATAACTAGAAACAGAAAAACAGTCTTTTATATAAATTATTCTTGGGGATTATCATAAATGAAAAAGTTTTGTATGAAATTCAAGAAAATACATTAAAGAACTTATGCATGTGATACAAGCTACATATATACATACACACACATATATATATGTGTACATTTCCCCCCCCCAACACATTTTAAGATTCTGTTCTCAAATTCATCCCACCTCAGAAGGCCTGCATAATGCATTCTGTGTTCTGAAGGCCCTGCAATAACCCTATGCATATATGAGGAAATAGGGTACGGGTAAAGATACTGAAAATGTGCTCTGCACCAAATCCAAATAGGTCAGCATGTACAGGGATTTCCAGTGTGGGCCAGATTAGAAGCCAGTAGATCTGTGTTTATATGGCCTGATGCAAAGCCCACTCAAGTCAACAGAAAATCTTACATTGATTTCAGTAGTTCTGCATCAGATTCATATCAATCCATTGGTCAAGAACTTGTGTCCAGGGGCCACAGGTACCATTCTAATTTGTAGTCTAGAGAGGTGACTGCACCTTTTGGCCTGCCCACCTGTCCTGACTCTGGACATTCATCTACAGCTTGATTACTCTATGGAAGGCAGTGTACTCCAGCAACTACATTATGAGAGGCAATGTAGAGAGGGAACTGTACTGGGAGTTAGAAGACAACTGTTTTAATTCTGACTCTGCTGCTAACTTGCTGTGTTACCCAGGACAAGTTATTCCATCTCCCTGTGCCTCAATTTTCTTATCAATAAAACATGGATAATGATACTTATCTTCCTGCATAAAGCATTTTCAGGTCTATAGATGGAAAATGCTGTCAAACGATTATTAATAATACTTAGGCATAAAGGTGTTTTCCTAAATTTCAACCATATCTGATGTAACAATCATATTATAATTTAATTAAATACATCAGAGATATTGGGGTCGTAAATCATTCAGAAAGAAACCAGGAAACACCCTAGTGAATATATAAAGTCCTTTAAAACACTGGCATTTATACAGTATTCTGGTTTCTAAATATAGGGAATACTAAAAATGTTGGTAAAAGTAAAAAAAAGTTTATCCTGAAGTAGTTATTTTCAGTGGAAGTCTGTATAACTTCCATGTCCAGACTTCAGTCAGACATGGAAAGAATCACACATTTCCTTGGCTCTGATTTCCTTGAAATTATGTTTTTTTTTCTACAGAAGCTCTGAAAAAAGTCTACATTTGCAAATCTGAAAGAGGCAGACACTGGATATCTGAAATGGGCTCCTTTTGATCAGTAACTGAATCCACTTAAGAAACATTATAGTATTTCAAAATACTGCAATTTAAATCCAAGCACTCTTGTTTTGTATTAAAAATAATTTATGCAAAACAATAAGTGTCATTAGCTATTTCTGTTTAGGAGAAAAAACAGAAAGAACTATTATTTAAAATTCCCTTTGAATCCTAAAAGAGTACAACATCATTTCCCTGGTTCTGTCTCTTCTAAAAATAATAAAGTTGCATGGTTTGTGTATTTGTATACTTCTGTTAATTAGTAAAAGTGTTTGCATTTTAAATAATAAATCTTGAAAATAAAAAGACTATAACCTAATAATGAAAAAAAAATAAAATTACTTAATAAAGCAAGCTATTCAATTCAATTATGCTGAACTCATTTTGTAAAAAGTTTTGCTAAATACATTATTTTAAAGGCAGATGTTGATTTAATGCCTTATTTAATATTTGAAAATATTCAAAAAATTCAGCAAATGCTGATTTTTTTTTTATACCTAGGTCTACTCTTAGGTAAGTGGGTAAGTTGTTTCCATCCATTTGTTGTGACACTGTGAATCCAACCATCACCTGCAAAAAAGAAGAATATGTATTTTAGAATTTATTCTTGGGGAATAAGATATTACCTTTTGTTTATATAAAGAGCTCTCCCATCTGTAATGCCTAGCATCCAAAGAATGACTAAAATGTTCATGAATTAATTACCATAATTTCAGAATCTTTGTGACTTAATTCGTGAGCTCTTTTTTGTCTCAGAAGAAAAAGTTAGCTACACTGAAATCTGGAGTTAAAAACACAATATAAAATATACAAGTCAAATCAGAGACTATTTTGAAATGAAAGGACTATATTCATCACAATGAGAGCCTGCTGTGTCCCTGGGACTCTACAAATCTAACAGTATTCCCACAATATTCTCTCATTTTCTTTTGTTGTTTCTCCTCCTCCTTCTTCCAAGTCTCCTTTCTGCTTGAACTCCAAGGTGCCAGACAGTGAAGAAGGATTTAAGGCCTTAATTTTGCATAGTAGATATTTCCATGCAACAAAAGCAAGAGTGACACAGACTACAACAGGGGTAGGCAATCATTTCTGAGCGGGGGCCACTTCAAAATTTTTTGAAGTGGTTGCGGGCCACCCCAGAAGGGCCTCAGGCAGAGCCTTTTAATAGCAGTAGTTGAAAGGGCTTGCGCCTCCCCTGTGGCTCCCAGGCATCACATTAGCTGGGGATGGGAGCTGAGAGCCCTTTCAATTTCTCCTATTAAAAGGGCTTGCTGCTCCTGGCTTCGCTGCTAGTGCGTTGCCTAGGAGCCAGGGACACATGAGTCCTTTCAACTGATTCTATTTAAATGGCTCACACCTTCCCTGGGGCTGTTGCCGGCCAGCCACGGGGACGGTGCAAGCCCTTTAAATAGAAGCAGTTCAAAGGGCTCGCACATTGGCTCCCAGGCAATGCACTATGGGGTGGGGCCTAGAACAGCTGCATGGGCTGGAACAAAGCCAGAACCGGCCCGCTGAATGGCTTTTGCCCACCCCTGGACTACAAGCATGAATTCCAAAATTAAATATAAAAATGATCGTTTTATACCTTAATGCAGGGGAGTCCAAACTTTTTTCAAAGAGGGCCAGATTTGATGAAGTGAACATGCGTGAGGGCCGACCATTTTGCCTGACATTCTTTGAACCATTAAAATTAAATGCAAATTAACTATTTTATGCAAAGTTTATTGCAAACGGCATACTTTTCATTTCGTCACATGGATCACAAATCTAAACAGGTGTTAAATCACTCTGCCTTTCATATCTGAAGGCCAGATGGAAAAAAAATCCAGGAAGCTGAAATATATGTCAGGAACATTGTAAAGTACATTACATATTATTGGTAATAAAGGTTGTCTGTCAACTTTTAAGTTAAAAAAATATGAACAGGAACATAACACCAAGTATACATGTTGTGTCCAAATATATTTATAACTGATTTAGACCAACTGACATTAACTGAGATTTTACAATGTATTCATCTCAATACATATGGATTCGTTGGGGGCCTTAAAAGATAGATATTGCCAAATTAGCTGTGGGGCCGTATTAAACCGGAACACGGGCCGCAATTGGCCCGCGGGCCGGACTTTGGACATGACTGCCTTAATGCAACAAAATTCCTTAACTACCCTGACTGACAGCTTTTCCTAATATCCAACTATGCCATCTGTGCTGCAATTTAAGCCCACTGCTGCTTCATTGTCCTCGTCTCAGAAGTTAACAAGAACAATTTTTCTCCTTGTAATAACCATTTATTACTTGAAACAAAATACAGGACTATGTAGCACTTTAAAGACTAACAAGATGGTTTATTAGATGATGAGCTTTCGTGGGCCAGACCCACTTCCTCAGATCAAATAGTGGAAGAAAATAGTCACAGCCATATATACCAAAGGATACAATTAAAAAAAAGTGAACACATATGAAAAGGACAAATCACATTTCAGAACAGAAGGGGAATGCAGGGGGGGAGGAAAGGAAGGTGAATGCCTGTGAGTTAATGATATTAGAGGTGGGGAAGAGTAGATGTCTGTGAGTTAATAGTGTTAGAGGTGATAATTAGGGAAGCTATCTTTGTAATGGGTAAGATAGCTGGAGTCTTTGTTCAGGCCTCCCCGGAGAGTGTGGAATTTTAGCATGAATGCCAGTTCAGAGGATTCTCTTTCAAGTGCAGATTTGAATGTCTTCTGAAGTAGGATGCAGGTGAGCAGGTCATTGAGACAGTGTCCTTTCTGTTTGAAATGGCAAGCAACTGTTTTTTCTGTGTGATCCTGTATAATGTCTGTTTTGTGGGCATTGATTCTTTGGCGAAGTGTCTGAGACGTTTGTCCAATGTACATAGCAGACGGACACTTTTGGCACATGATAGCAT